AGATTCACTAAGAGATGGAAGCATAGGCCTAATGAAGAAGTGGTCATTACTGAAGGAAGGCTGGCAGTGCGAGTACTTTGGTATTGCCCTCTTTTGGCACAGATGTGAAGATGGCTCCCAAGAAGTCAAGGAGTCTTTTAAGAAGTACAAAAGGCAGTGGGATTCAATTTCTCCTTTGCACTGTGGTTTGGGTATTCCCATGTGAAACTGAAATGGCCAGAGTGTATATGACCCTAGCTCTCGTCTTTTTTTATTTTCCCTTTTTGGAGCTGGTGTCTTTGGCCTTTATCTGTTTGATGGCCTTTCTTCCACAGAACATGATCTTCCCACCAATTTTTATAGTTTATAACTCAATCATCTAATCTTCATAGAATCAATTAGCTAATGTTACACTAGCTACCATTTATTATTCACTTATTCTGTGCCAAGCACTATACTAAATGCTTGAAATACAGTCTTTAAATCCTTGTATCGGCTCTGGGAAGCAAGTACTTTTATCGTCCCCATAGTACAGTTGAAGAAACTGAAGCTTAGAAAGGTTTTACTTTAAGAAATAGCCACCAGATGGTGGATCTGGGACTCTAACTCAATTTTGATTCCAGAGTTTAAGCTTCACCACTAGGCTCTACAGACTTTCATGGGACCTTGCCTGTAGTAGGTGACCCTGTACCCAATTTTCAGTGTTCTGTTCAAATGACCAAGACCAGAACTCTAAGGACAGGGAGGGAGATGCTTGGGAAAGGGAAGCCGATACTTGCCTTTTAAATCATGCTGTCAGTCTGCACATCCCCTCCTTCTCCCTCCCCTCCCCCTTTCTCCCTCTTCAGTGTTTGGTAGAACTCACCAGTGACGCTATCTGGACCTGAGCTTCTCTTTGTGGGAAGTTTTTTGATTACTAATTAAACCTCTTCGCTTGGTCTCTTCAGATTTTCTATTTCTTTTTGAGTCAGTTTCAGTAGTTTGTGTCTTTCTAGGAATTTGTCTTTTCTAGGAATTTGATCTGCATTATCTAATTTATTCATATATAATTGTTCATAATATTTCTTACAATCCTTTTTTATGTCATAAGGTTAGTAGTTCTCCCTACACTTTCATTTTTGATTTAATAATGTAAGTCTTCTCTTTGTTTCTTTCCAGTCTGGCTAAGTTTTGTCAATTTTGTTAATCTTGTCAGAACCAACTCTTGGTTTTGTTGATTTTTTTATATTGTTTTTCTGTTCTCTATTTCATTTATTTCTGCTCTGATTTTTATTATTTCCTTCTTCCGCTTGTTTTGAGTTTAGTTTACTCTTTTGCTTCTAGTTTCTTCAGGTGGAAAGTTAAGTTGTTGATTTGGGATCTTTTTTTAAATAAAGATGTTTACAGCTATAAGTTTCCCTCTACGCACTGACTTTGCTGAATCATCTAAGTTTCAGTATGTTGCGTTTTTATATTCATTCATCTCAAAGTATTTCTAATTTTTCTTATGATTTCTTCTTTAACCTACTTGTTATTCAAGCATGTATTGTTTAATTGCCACATGGTTGTTAGTTTCCAAAATTTGCTTCTGTTATTGACTTCTAATTTCATTCCATTATGGTCAGAAAACATACTTTGTATGATTTCCATTCTTTTAAATTTATTAAGACTTGGTTATGGTCAAACATACGGTCTGTCCTGCAGAATGTGGCAAGTATGCCTGAACAGAGTGTACAGTCTACGGTTGTTGGGTGGAGTGAGATCTGGTTGGGTTGTAGTGTTCATGTCTGTTCTTTCCTTGTTGATCTTCTACATACTTGTTCTGTCATCTGGATGTTGAAATGGATATTGAAATCTACAACTATTACTATTTGTTTATCTCCCTTCAGTTCTGTCATTTTTTGCTTCATATATTTTGAAACTCTGTTGTTAGGTACCACACATTTTTATAATTGTTGTATCTCCTTAATTGGTTGACTCCTATTATTATAAAATGTCCTTTCTTTGTCACTAGTAACAATTTTTCTCTTACGGTCCATTTGGACTGATATTAGTATAGCCATTCCAGCACTCTGTAGCTAGTTTGCGTGATACATGTTTTCTGTTCTTTCACTTTCAACTGACTTGTGTTTTCCAATCTAAAGTTTGTATCCTGAGGCAAGCATATGGTTGGGTCATGTGTTTTTTTAATCCATTTTGCCAGTCTCTGCCTTTTCATCAGAATGTTTATTACATTCAGTATAATTACTGATAAGATATGATTTATGTCTGCCCTTTTATGTTTTCTGCTTGTCTTATGTCTTTTCCTCCTCTATTCCTCCATTGTCTTTTGTTATATTAGATAATTTTAATTTAAATTTAATTCCCTTGTTATTTCTTTTACTGTATAATTTTTATTTTCTTGCTATAGGGATTACAGTTAACATTTTAATTTAAAACAATCTAGTTCAGATTGATACCAAGTTAATTTCAGTCATATATAAAAACTTTGATTCTGTATAGCCCCATTTCTTCCCCCTTCTTCATATTGTTATTGTCATAAAAGTTGCATTTTAAATGATACGTCCACCAACACAGATGTATAATTATTGCTTTAGGAAGTTGTCTTTTAAATCAGATATGGGTAAAGGAAAGTCATTTTTCTTGAGTAAACACTCCTTGGATTGATACAAGCCATTGGTTAATGTCCAGAGTTCTAAAAAAAATTGATTCTATTTTTACCAGTTTTCTTGTTTCTTTTATGGAAGAGAGAATTTTCAGAGTTCTTTAACCATTTTCTTTTAAAATCACTCTCACTCTCAGTGTACTTTTAATTTGTATTTCCCTTAGCTGAAGGTAAAGGTATTTATTATATTTATATTTCTTTTTTTGTGTAAGCCACATGTATATGTCCTATGACCATATTCGATTAAGTGTTTTTTAGTGATCTGTAGAGGTTAGGGAAATGAGTTATCTGCCTTTGTATGAGTTGCAGAATTTTTCCTAATTTTGTGTTTTTTCTTTTGTTTATGGTGTTTTTGTCATGGAGGGAAAGGTATCAGTCTTAATTTATCTTAATGTGTCAGTTTTAATGTATCTATGAATTCTTTTATGACTTCTGAGTTTTGTATAATACTTTTTAACTATTCCCCAGTGGCCTTTCAAGGTTTTTTTTTTCAATCAACTTTATCAAAATATAACTTAAAATACAATAAAGTACACCTTTTTCACAAATGTATACACCCATGTAACTACTACCACAATGATGATAGAGAACATTTTAATCACCCCCAGAAATTCTTTCAGGCCCCTTTACCATCATTCCCACTTCACCACCAACAGTAGCACAAAATACTCTTGTTATTTTTTTCATTGTCTTTATATCTGTGACTATTTCCCCCTTGTCATTTCTTATTTCATCTTCCTTCTTGAGTAAGTTATCTAACACTTTCTCTCTTTTATTTCGTTTTATTTCAAAGAATATGCTCTTTTATTTATGTATTAGTTATGTCATTTTTCTCATTTAAAATTAACTAGCTGTTTGAGGAAGATGCTTAATTCTTGTTGAGGGTGTGAATTTTCCTCTGAGAACTTCTTTAACTGAATCCCAAAAGTTTTGATATGAAGCACCCATCTCACCATGTCACTTGCATTTTCTTTGCTTTGTTTTTGTGTTTCTTATAATAAAATTTAGGTTAGTAGTTTCATCTTAGAAGTTACTTTTATAACTGTGACTCTAGTTGTTATTCATAGACTTCTTACCATGTACAATGGTGGAATTAATATATTTCCCCTTCCTCCTTCCCTCTTCTTTACCAGCCAATTGATTATCTTGGTATTTTCCTTTGTATTATAAAATATACTATTCCTGTCAGGTTCTAAAAAGTTCACACTCAGACCAGGGTAAGTTTCTCCCAAAGGGTTCTTTTATACTTTATTCTGCCCTTCCCCCGCATTCTCCTGTCCCCGCCTCCAGCTCTACCTTGCTTTCCCACCAGGCAAGTCCCCAGTCATCTTAGGCAGGAAAATGAAGTCTTAGTTGATTGATGGGCAGCTGCTGCCTCCACAAGGGACAGAGTAAATTTAGGTTCTGTCACAGGCTGAGACTCTTATCAAGGGAAGCTCAGAACATCCTGCCAGAGCTCCCTGAAAATAGGCTTACATAGCCCCTCCCTGTCCCTTCTCCTCAGTTGCCTAAACCAGGCTTAGGGCCCCTCTAGATGGTGAAAACCTCTTTTTGCCTAACTCTCCATGATTATAAAAAAGACTGGGTTCCTGAGTACCTCATTCCTCTGCATTTAAGTCTCTCATCTCAATACGGGCAAATATTTTCAAACTAAACAGTTTGAGAAGAAATCCTGGCAGGAACCTTGAAGGCTCTCTGATCCCCAGCCTGGACTAGCTCTCATTTACTCTTAACCATGGCCACACCCTTACCATTTATTCCTCCTCCTCTCACCCTCATGCCCTTTCTCCACTGGGCTCTTCCCAAGCTCAGAGTTAAGGCCAAAAGGAACAGAGCTACCAGATGGCCCCCCAGCTGATAAAGAGCCAGCTCTGGTAAAACTGATGTCTGCAAGGGTCTTTTTTCTCCTGGTGCTTGAAAATCCTTTGTCCTACCAAGGAATAGGCTTGATATCTATATTAGTTTTTTCCTCACTCCTGTTTCTTTTTAACCCCATCTCTCATACTCTATCTGTCCTGAATCTCCTTTAACTAATTATTATCCCCTTTCTTCCACTATATGTTGTCACGCCATAAGATGTCACTTGTTTACAAGGTACAGAGCAGAAAGCAGAAGAGATTTCTAGACTGAAGAAAATGAATCTATACTTTCAGAAGTTATCATGATAAAGGCAGGAAATGCTTTTGAAGAAGCCTTCTTGATGCCCCTTAAATCAAACTGCATTGCAGTATTCTGACCAGGGAGTGAAACCACCTTCCCACTGGCAGGACAGGCAGGAGATCACACACACAAACTCTGGACCAGTCTTTGGAGTTCACAGACCATGTGAAGTCAAACTTGGGCCCTCTCTTTCCCTCTCAAGCATCAAGAGCTCATATATTATCACTTAGAGTTTATTTATCACAGTGGTTTAAAGGCAGAGGAACTAGCATGGGGGCTTCCCAAGACACCTCAATCGTATCTAAGTATCACTTTCCAGGTCAGAAAAGTCAAGACATTAGATCAGATCCTGAAGTCCCTAGTTGCTCTGACACCCTAGGGATTGAGGGCATGGGCTGCATGGATGGCTACTCAGAACCGTAGAGATGATCTCTGAGTTTACAGGAAGATGAACAGCTTAGCTGGGTGGAGTCTGGCTATTAGGTGGATCTTGGGCTGGCTCACAGGAGGCTCCTCCACTTTTGTCCCCTCCAGGGAAGACGACTGTGGCATATGTCACAGCCTTAGGAGGCAGAGGGGGCAAAGAGGATTGGACTGGGGTTGGGGGTTTTCCTGGCAGAGGATCAAGAGGAAGGTTGCTGTAGGTCGTATTGTCGAAGGAAGGTGGCGAGTCGAGCCTAACGTATGGTACATCCAATGGCAGATCAGCAGCTGGTCCAGAGTCACTGATGTGGTGGACCGCCGAGGAGGGTGCCTGTAACAAAAACAGGCAAATCAAGCAAAGAGAAAATGCCTCCCTCTGCCCCAGTTCCCTTTGGTGGGAAGCCCAGGACTACACTGGATCTGTCTCCTCAACCCTGAGCATGTCAGTGGGCAGGAGGGCTTCACTTTGAAGATTTTCAAGCCCCAAGTTTCTCCCCAAATCGGGGTAGGTGGATAGCAAGATGGGAAGGTGGGAGACCATGGTTGCCAGGTTTACAGCATTTAGGAAGAGAGTTTGGACCTCGACTGGGTCCCAGTCTTTTCTCCACCTCATTATCCTGGGACTTCTCAGTGAGCAAGGCAGATGGAGGGTCTGGAGAATTTGGCTGGGGGCCTGCAGAGGTCTCTTACTGTGCCTGGGACTCCATTGCTCTGAAATTGTCCAAGCCTGTTCCCTGTCAGGACAGAAGACAGAAGCACAGTCTGCTTCTTGGGCTGGCTCAGTGTCCACCCCACCGCCCCCGCCACCGCACTCCCTTCAGAAACCTCTGAAACCTCTGTCCTAGTCTATACTCACCTTCCCCACTCCCACCAGCAAAGATTTCCCCCTTCGTTGCCCCAGCCCCCTGCCCCAGCCAGCCCTAAATCTCCCTACCTACTTACTGCTTCCACAGCACCGTTCAACCTGCCTCAGCACTCAGCCCATCTCCTGAAATCCCTCACCTCCTCCAGTCACCTGTCCCCCATCCCACTGTCTCACCATCTCCAATTCCTCTCTCTCCCTGGGCTACCTCCCACTGAATCCTTTCTCTCTTCCACCCCTCAGCCATGGGAAGTCTAGGCCGGGGGCTGTTACCAAAGCCTGCCTACAGGAGGAGCGGACCTAGATTCCCAGCCTCAAATGCAAGCCTGGCTGACACAGGACGAGGAGGCCATCCTGGGATAGGCAGGTAGACAGCCACATACCTTTCTTTTTGGCCATTACAGCTAACAGCACCGCCGCTGCCATCACCAGCAGGCCCACCAGGAGCACAGCACCCCAAATCAAGGGTCTGCTGAGGGACACAAAGGGATAGGTGAGCTTAGCCCTGAACCTAGTGAGGGGCTGCTTGCCAGGAATCCTGAAAAAGTGGCAAAAGGATAGAGTTCTTTTCGCTGGAAGGGAATGAGAAAGGCAGACTCAAGCAAGGCAGAAGAGAGATGCATTATCAGGGTATCCTGGGGATCCACTGGGATGAAGGAGTCAGCGCTGAAGTGGGGTAGAGAGAGGTATGTCTGTCTGCCTGCCTGCCTGCCTGCCTGCCTGTTCAGAAGTTCCCCGGGGGTGGAAAGAATCATAAGGTTTACCTCTGATTTAGCCTGAGGCTCTGAACATGCCGTATCTTCACCACCACCCTTTCCCAGACACCCAAATACAGTTCTTGTCAGTACCTCTTCTCATCCTGGCTGGGATCCAGAGGGTTGGCACTGCCCACAGGGTTTGAAGAGGAGCTGTCAGCCAGACTCCCAACATGATGGGTCTTCTCTCCCTCCTTTTCCAGGCCAGGAGCTGAGTCAGAAGGAAGTATTTAATGAGCACATGCCCATGGTGGGCAGGATTCAAGGGCCTGGTGAGACCTGAGGGACTGGGGGAGTGGAGCTGAGGAAGGATAGGTCCCAAGAAACACAAAGAAGGGGGGTTTGGGATAGTCCTTAGGGGCCTCTCATTCTGGAGATCAAGGAATGGCCCTCTTTGTGTCTATACCTGGTTGTGAATATGCCCACTTTCCCCTCTGCCCCTGGCTCCCAACCTTTCTTCCTACATTCTTCTTCACCTGTTTCCCTGTGCCCCTCTGTGTCCATCCCCCCAACCCCACCCCAGAGTAGGTTTCTCCACTCTCATCCTCAGTGGAAACCTTGCTCCTGGCTCTCATCAGTTGGTCTCCCGAGGGACCTCAGCACAACCTGCTCGACTTCTCCACATACCTGCAACCGTGCGACAGCCCGTGCAGGCTGGTTTAGCCCCATCCCAAGCTCTTCCTTCAGGATCTGAGGGACTTGGGGTCAGCTCTGATGTGACACAATGATGCTGACCCTTGCTGAGAGCCTTGCTTGGACCCTGAGACTCGGTTTTGTCACAAGGTTTCTGTCATCCCTGCAACATGCTCCACTCCCATCCGCAGCACTCAAGGTTGGTCTCTCTGTGCCTGAGGATCTGCCTTGGGAACCTGGGCAGTCCTTCTAGACCCTCTGAGACGAGGGTCTTGCCTTGTTCTTAGGGATTCACCATTCCCACTTTCCACCCCATATTAAACCAGGAACTGGAGATGATGTGGCCCCAATCTTGCTGCATGTGTCCTGCTCTCCTGGTGCTTTTTAAACCACCCACCTCCTCCCTGGATACTGTGCTCTGCCCGCCTGCCTGAACATCCATCCCCTATGGCTACTGGGGTCCCCAACACCCGCCCCACTGCAGGTACCTGTCTCCCTGCCGCCTCTTCCCAGTGCATGTCTTGTCACAATTTGCCATTAGGGAGTTTTAACCTTGACTTACTAGACCTTAGAGTGTCAAGGAGGGAGGCGGACAAAGGATGACTAGGGTTAACAAGAGTATGATTAAAATATAAATAATAATTGTGGATTCAAGAGGGATTCTAATGACAGCTTAGTCCATCCTCATAATTCACAGATGGAGTAAAAAACCAAGAGAAGGAAAAATGCCTGTCTTAATTTCATTACTTGGGACACTTGGCACAAATTACTTGAGAAAAGAAGCCCTGAAAAGGTAGAAAATAGGAGCAGAAGGCAGGAGCAGTCTCTGTTTCATCAGGTAGCTGATCATTTTACAGACAACATTTTTTTTATAATATCCTATTTTTCTGGAAACATTTTTTAATACTTTAAAATATTCTTTCAATAAATGTTTAGACATGAGAAACTTACAGGCTGTGAAAATGAAATCTGTGAAAACAAAACTTTCTATACTAAAAACAGGGCTGAGAATGTTGACTTAACTATTAAGGACACTTTTTCTGTTTTTAAAACTGAGTGAGTGGAAGGAACTCAGGCACCTAGTGTACCCTGCCTGTAGGTGAGGCACGTATTAGATGCTCAGGGAAGACTTGTAAAACTAAATAAGATGTAAATCAGTAATTTTTAAGCCATCAAACTCATTATTACAGTAATAAAAACCTGGCAGATATTTTCAAAAAACTAATTCCAGTTCATACACCTGAATTAAAACTTTGTTTAAAACATTTCTAAGGGAAAAAATAGCATCAAATATGTAGAAAGCCAAGGCCATGGGTGGGGAAGGAGGATGTGCCTTCCTGTGGGGAAACCCACTGTGCGGGAGGGGAAAGGAACTGCTTGGCTGCTTTATCTCAGGCATCTCACTGGTTTGGTTTCCGTTCCCTGCAGAGCTGTCCAAAGGAGATCCCCCCTCCCGGTTCCTCCCTGACAAGGGCCCCCACCCCACAAGGACCCCAGAGCAGTAGGTAGGGACAAGAGGGCAGGTCGGAGGGGTGGCCAGGCTAGGATAACTCACCTGCAGCGTGCACGTTCAGAGTGACTCTGTGCACAGTCTGGGGCCCTGAGTTTCCCTCCACCAGGCAGCCATACTCCCCAGCATCCTCCTCCCGCAGGGAAATCATCTCCACCTGGAGCAGGCCGCCACCCAGGTCAGTGAGAAATACGCGGCTGCTGGCTGGGGCTCTGCGATCCACGGCTGATGACACCAAGGGCTGGCACCCCTCCCGCAGGAAGCGACACCACACCTTTCGAGCCTTGATGTCTTGGAGTCGGTAGTGGCACTGCACCTGGATGGAGCTCCCTACAGGCACCTGCAGCAACTCAGGGAGGCTGCCAGCCAAACCCTGGCCTAGGGAAGGAAAGTCACCGGAATGTTGGGCAGGAGCTGGGGGCACCTCCTGGCCCACCCACTGCACAGGGCACAGGGATCTAGAGATCCTTCTAGGCCTACACATAATGGTAGTTGCCATGGTAATGCCAGTGATTCCTGGGCATCGAGCGGGTTATATGGGGCCCAGAGTGCAACTCCTTCTGAACATTACCTGCTAGTCCCAGGAGCAGCAGCAGGAGCAGGTTGGAGCCCATGGCTGGGCAGGGAGATGTCAGCTCTGGAGCTTGCCTGGGCACTGACACAGCATTCCCCTGAGGGCAGGAAACTTTTGCCTCAGACAGTCACGTGGGGCTCTCCCTGACCGTGGGATGGGAGGCAGGCATGGTGGGCCCCTCCATGGGTGGGGATAAGGAGCTCTTCTTAGTCCTGGTTGGCTCAGTGCTCAGGAACTGACTCTGAGAGGAGGTGTGGGCAAGAGCGGGTGAAAAGGCCCAAGCAAATGCAGAAGCTTGGGGTCCTGGGGCTCCCCCTAAGGAATGAAGGGGGAGGAGAATCATGGCAACCAGAGAGTATTAGAGAGAGAGGGAAGATGATCTTCAGGGTATTCCAAATACAGAATCTGATGAGGCAGAGCTGTGAAGGAGGGGAGGAAAGTGTCCTTCCCACGGCCCAGGGCCATCCTGATTTTAATTTCTGTGTGAGAGCTCCACCCGAGCCCTCCTGGTCCCTGCATCACAACCTCACCTCAGGAGGCCCCACCTCGACGGTGGCACCTGGGCTGGCGTGTCTTCATCCACTGTGCTGGGAGCTCCCTAGACACTCTCACTGTGAACTGCATGCTCCAGTTCTGGGAGTGGCTTTGCTGCATTGATCATTGCTTCTTCATCTTCCTTTTTTCCCCTCTGATTTCCTGGAACTCCTTAATTAGTTGGATATTGAACATGTATTCATGTATTCATCTCATTTTCATGGCTTTTCTCTCTTATTTTCCAGCTTTTTGTCCATTTTGGTCTGATTCCTAGAAGATAGCCTCATCTTTCTCTTCCATCCCTTCATTGTGGTCCTTCAAATTTTTATCCCTTAGTGTTTTTAATTTACAAATTTTCTAATTCTCCAAGGATTTCTTATTTATAGCATATTATTTTTGTTTCATGAACACACTCTCCTCTCTGATGGGAGACAGTTCTCCATGAATGTTTTCATGTTTCTGCCTGGCCTGGGCCTTCCCAGGAAAGGGCACTGACCAAGCTTCGTTTCAGGGCCACTGAAGAGCCAACACGCCATGGGAGTTAGAGACAGTGTATCAGCTCCAGAGAGATTTCCTTCCTTCCTTCCCCTCCTTCCTTAGAGAAGATCAGGTCAGGTTCCAGAGTAAAAGTCGAGAGAGAGAGAGAGAGAGAGAGAAAAGATGGGCCAATGTGCCAGATGCTCTATATAAGCTCCAAGTCTCATAATTTGGGGTTCTTCTCTCATGACTCTCATGGTTTGGTTTGGTGTTGAATGTTTTGTTTTTTCACGCAAGGACCCTGAGGCTCAGAGGAGTTAAGGAACTTGCTGAATGGTTCTTAGTAGGAGGCAAATTGGAAACTGGAAAACCCCTTCAGTTCAGCGTGCACGCCAGAGTCCGAGGAGGCAGATCCCAATGGTGATCTGAATCCTAGGGTGGGTGTCTCAGACATGGCAGACCAGGAAGAAGAAAAGGAGGAGCTTCCCAGGAGGAGGAACGTTCCAGTGGCCAGGGCCGCCCCCCGGGAGCCTCCCCTTCTATCTCATCACACCTGATGCCTGGACAGGGCCAGAGGGAGGGAGGGAGGTAGAGTGAGCTCAGTTTGGGCTCTGCTCAGTCTTGGCTCCTAGACTGTGCCTCGGGTCTGCAGGAAGGAGACAACTTCCCCTGGGCCCGATGGGGAAGTTTCACGTGCCACTGAGTCAGGGAGGCCAAGGAAACAGACCCGAGCTGGGAGCAGAGGCCAGCAGAACAGCCTCAACAGGGAGTGGATAAGGCAGGGTGGGGCAGGGCCGCACTCGGGGAGTCACGAACAGACGTGTGGCTGGACCAAGGGGCTCCTTCCTAATGATTCAAAACCCCAAAGGCCCGGGTGTCCACACCCAGGTTAGGAGGCAACACAGCCACGTGTGGCCATGGCCAGAGGGACTCCTGGGCCTCCAGCTCTCTGAGGCCCGGGACAGAGAGCCTGAGGACGTGGCCAGCTCGCGTCCTCCTCTTGGGGCAGCCCACCCTCCAGGAAGTCTCTGTCCAGTTTCCTCCACACTCTTCACCCAGGAGGCATGTGTGTGTTGAAAGAACCAAGGTTCCCTGAGCCACTCCGGCTGTTCCCTCTGCTCCTCACATCTCTGTGACTCACTTCCTCACCTCCTCCAAGTGTTTCTCAAGGGGTACCTTCTGACTACCCTTTAGAATTGCAACATCTGCCTTCTGCACTCAGCAGCTCCTAACCATCTGACTGACTTCTTTATTCTATTTGTCTGCTCTCTTTCCATTAGAACGTGGCTCTGTGTGGGCAGATACAGTTTTTTCACTGTTGTGTCTCCAATGTCTAGACTATTTTTTTTTCACTGTTGTCTCCAATGCCTAGACTAGAACCTGGCACAGAAATTATTTGTAGAATAAATACATGAATAAATGATTGAGCTACAGAGAAGGATAGCTTGAATGCCAAGTGAAATCTGAATTTCCAGGCTCTACTGGGGACTTTGAATAAATCCTTTGCCTTTGAGCCTGTTTGCCATCTGTACAATGAGGGGCTTGGACCAGCAGTCCCCGGCTCTAGTACACTGCTTTCCACCACCCAAGCCCTTGTCATTTCTCCGGAGGGGAAGTAACAGGATGAGAGCAAGCCTCTAGGGGGACCAGAGGATGAGTCAGCTGGGAATTGGGGAGAGGGTACAGAGGGAGGGGCGAGGCCTGGGAAGGAAGGCTAGCAGTAATCCTAGGGAAGGATGGACAGGAACAGGAAAAGAGAGAAAGCCTGGATGCTCGAGAAATTCCGTAGGAGGAGGCCGGAATTGGCAGTTAGGTCTCTGGAAGGGAGAGAGAAGAATAAAAAGATTGGCCAGTTTAGAGCCTGTGGGACTGGAGGAACACGGTTTCCTAAGACCCTAGACCCCAAGGAGCCAGATCTTTTATCTTTTCCTCATCCGAATTCACTCTCCTAGCCCTGTAGCAACAGAGAAGACCTTCGTGATGCCCTAAACCATCAGTTAAACATGAAGTCTTGGATTTGTGAGAGTGTTTAATATCCGATGTGCAGAAGTTGGTAGATGTCCTTCCCACTTCCTATGCATGCACACGTGCGTGTGCGCGCACACACACACACACACACAAAACACCAATCCTTGCTTCCAAGGGCCAGGGAAGCAGGGCACAAGCAGAGCGGCCTTTTGCCAAAGCAGAATCAGGAGACTTAATGGCCAAGGGAGTGAGTGTACAGGCTGGGGTGGTCCATGCAGACCTTTCCCAGGCCTCTCCTCCAATGTGGGTCCTCTTCTGTCATGTGTCTCTCAGCCCTGCAAGAGACAAAGTACTCATTTGGCCCCTCTCAGCCCCACCTCGCTGTCCCCCCAGCCACCACTGTGCTCTCTAAGCTCACCTGTCAAGGTTTGGAGCTGGTAACCGGAGTCATGGCCACAGTCCAGCCCGCTGGTCTGCAGCCACCGCCTCCGTTTCTGCCCATGCCAGGCTGCAGCCCAGAGGGCGCTGGCTGCTAGAAGCTTGCTGAGAAAGATGCAGGCCAGAAGGAAAAGGATGGAAGTGGGTGGGAAGGGGCTCTCCTCGTCTGAAAGGCTCCTTGGAGAAACAAAGAGGGCCTGTAGGAGGCAGACTGGAATCTGCGCTCAGAGAAGGAACGGGGAGACGCCAGGAGCTCCGGGGACTCAGATCGCCTCCCAACCCAGCGCACCCCCGGGTGAGGCTGTGTGGGGCTCGGGGAGCCTGCAGGCGGGAGGCCTGAGTTCCAGGCAGGGATCTGCCAGCTTAGTGCTTTTAAACAGTCACTTCCCTTGTAAGGCAGTTTCCTGCCTTACGGATTGGATGGTGTGGTACATGTGTGTGTGAGCGTTCGCACATGTGTGTTCCATGGTTATACTAACATTGTTTAAACACCAGTACATAGTCAAGAACCAGTCAGAACTGATTCTGGTCCCACCAGGGAAGCAGGGAGCTGGGATTCCCAGTTTTGTACTGAAATACTAAAACTTTCATTGTTGCTAAATTGTGGGGATGTCTGAGGGCTGCCGGGGAGGGGTGGGAGGTGGACCGTTCAGGAGTCTTGTAGCAGCAGCTATTCATGGGCTGTCAGGGAGGTACTGCGGCATTTTACCAGGCGGCACACTGGCTGTTTGAAGGGGTGTTTAGACAAGATCATAAGTAGACCCTTTCACTTTCTGATCACCTTGGAATTTGTACTCCTGGGACCCCTAACCCACCACCCCATGCCTGTGCTCTGCAGGGTAGAAGACTGCCCAGGGACCTTAGGAAAGACTTGTCACTATACCTGGAGATGCTATGCTCCACCTGGGTACCCTCGAAGTTCTCAGACTCCTCGGGGATCCAGAGATCTCCAGGGTCCTGGTAATCAAGGGGGTCTGCGGGAGACAGAGCCTGTGAGCTTGAGGCCATCTGCCACAATGAATAAAACCTCTCTGGGCAGGGTGAGGCCCCCTGGGCTCTGGCCCTACACAGATCAAGCTGTTAACCTTTCTGAGTCTCATTTTCCTAACCTGTAAAGTGGGGCAATTAGGAACACCTCCTTAATAATAGTGTTGCAGGATTCGGTGAGAGCATCCTGTATAGCTGCCCACTGCAGCTCCCACCCTCCCATCACGCTGGGTCTTTGGGAAGACCAAATGGAATAATGTATGTCTTTGAAAGGCCTGTGTGAACTGTCAAGCCGTCTACACCAGCTTAGGATTAGTGCTTTTATTATTATTATTATTATTACTTTCCTGCCACACTCCTGAGAGTTGGCTGAGCCTTAGACCCTGTAGAGCTGAAAATTTGTGTCTCCTTGTCCCCTACTCCCCTTTCCCACTTAGAAAAGTGGTGGAGATGGGGTTTGGGGTCTAGGACACGTGGTCTCCCCTACCCTCCCCACCTGAGACAAATGTTACTTTCAGCCTCCATTTCCATGATAAGGGAAAAGGAGAGAGTCAGAAAGTGGATATGTAACCCCAGATTTGCTCTTCTTTGGGACACAATCACATTCTGGAGACACAGGCAGAGGGCTTTCCTGGAGGGCATCCCCTGTGCAAGCTCAGGGATGGGGAGGACCCCCACCCCCACTGCCCCATCTCATCTAGTCAAGCCTGAAATGAGGATCCCAAGCAGTTAGCAGCAGGGGGCTGGGGCGAAGGCTGTCACTGACCCCAAGCGCTTTTAACTCTGTCAAGTATTTTGTGCCCTATGGGAGCCCTGTGGGGTCTGCAGCACAGACACCATCACCGCAATTTAAAGATGGGGAAATGGAGGCCCAGAGACACATGTTGTCTGGGGTCACAGCAGTGTGCCTTTCTACGGTTGTTTTTCTGTATCAGGCTGGTGCTTAATCTGTGTTGTTAGGTCCATTGGGTGGTTGGGTGAGGAAATAAATGAATGTCCTCCTACTCCTTGAGGACCACCTGCAATGCTCACATCCTAACAGAATGCCAAATGGATAAAGCTGCTTGGGGGAAGCAGGACCACAGCTAGCTCATATGGTGCTTTGGACAAATTAGAGACCTGTACCCTTCCTGCAAGTGATGCAGCCCTCCGCCAGGGAGCACAGACTAAAGAGAGGCGTCCCTTGTGCAGTCAGCAACCTGCACAACCATCCACAGTGGTCCTGAGTCAGGAGGACAAGATCCACACTGTGGGAATTCCCAGGGTCCTGGAAAGCCCTCAGGGTGGTCCTGTGCACAGACACCAAAGACATGAACCCCACCCCAAGAGCAAGTCAGGGTGCAGTCAGCTGCCCACTCACCAGCCAGCACCTCCACCAGGACCTTCCTGAGGGTGTCAGCCTCGCTACCGTGGAGGCTCTGGCACTGGTAGAGGCCAGCATCATGGGCTTGAAGATTCCGCAGTGTAATGGTGAGTGTGCCACCCAGGGCATCATCCGTGATGGCCGTGCTGCCATTCCACCTCTTCAGGAAGGACAGCAGCCACGAGGGGTGGGTACTGACCACCTGCTGGCACAGACCCTCTTCACCCAGCTGGCGGCACCAGGCTTTGCGTCTCCCCCAGTGCTTCAAGGAGTTGTAGGGACAGAAGACACGCAGGGACCGGCCTGCCATGCCCTGGAATACCGTAGTGTTTTGGGCTCGGGACAGTTCTGGGGAAAAGACATTCATTCACTTACCAAATGTTAATTGAACACCTACCATTTGCAATGAACCAAAGAGACAGAAATTCTGCCCTTAAGGGACTCAGGTTCCTACACAAGTTGGGAGAAGGTGGCACAGCCCAGGTATGTGTTTACAGGAAACTGTAAACCAGGAAACCTGGGTCCTGGGTCTGGCTTTATCACCATTGGACTTGCTGGACATCTTTGGAGAAGTAACCGACCTTCTCTGGGCCTATTTCCAGAGACACTTGGTCTTGAAGTTCCCTCTAGTTCTAGTCCACACTTCTCCCTGTCACATGGGACCAAGCCCTCTCCTCTTCCCCTCCATCTCAAGAGAGTAAGGCCAGTGGCCCTCTCAGGTCTGGGGCAAGTTCCACGGGGGGCTGGGTACCCCTCCCTGCCCCCACCACGTTTGCTTCCCCTGCAGCTGCCCACGCTGGTGCCAGCCCCACATTCTCCTCTTTCTGACCTTAAGCTTCCAGCTTCTCTATTTCTGTGGCTTTGTTCCCCTTTCAGGAGGGACTCGTCTCAGAGCTATTTTGGAGGAGACATGAGATTGCTATTTTAGGGACCCTCCTTGGGGTTGGGGAGATGGGCTTAGAACACCAGTCTACTGCCAGGGCAGGGGCTGCAGGAGACTCATCCGGAGCCCTCTGCCTCAACCTCCCCTCTCTTCCACCACATCTTCAAGCACATGGTGACAGAAACGTGTAGGACAGGATTGGGGAGCTGGTAGCCTGCCTTTTGGAAACAGAGCGACCTAGCAAGTGGTGCCCCCTGCTTACCACCCCATCCAGCCCTCTGCTGCTGGGCAGGCCCACACACCGCCACCCCCGTGCCCCGCTCCACCTCCAGCTACGAAGCTCTAGCTCTGTTCGGAAAGTCCTTCCTCTCACCCAGGTGTGCCAGTTGTTCTGGGGGAGCAAGGGCCACCCTTCCCCCAGTGAGACAAGGCCCTAATGTACAAAAATGTGGGGTGTCAATCCCCACCCGTTCAATCACAGAACCTTCAGCCCCTTCACCTCCCATCCAGGGCTGAGGACGAGAGGACCTTCAGAGCATGGGAGGGGCACCCCAAAGATGCAGATTCCCAGTACTGGCTCTTTTCTCCCTCCCACCCTGTCACTCCAATGGGGCTAGTTTTATGTTTAGTGGTTCATAATTTTAGGGGCTCTTACCTGTGCCTCTCAAAACTTCCCCCAACTACTAGCTAGTGCCTGAGATGCCACCATCAGAACTCCTTCCCTTTCCAGGTGGCTGAGTCCACCAGCCTCTGGTACCTTCACATGTGGGAAGAGTCTGACAGTGGGTTCTGATACCAGGCAGGGAGGGAGAGCCTGGGGAATAAGGGACACAGTGGGAGGAGAGGGGTGCAGAACGTGCCGAGGGTTTCAGCCGCCTTCCGTGTGGCTCAGCGCTCCCCACCCACCCACCCTGCCCTACACTCAAGGAAGGGGAGAGAACGAAGTCAGCAGAAAGAGAGGATCCTACCTGTGACAGAGAGCAGGATGAGCAGCAGGAGAGCCTCCATGTCACCCTGCTCTTGTGAAGGACAGCCAGCCGCAGAGTGCTTGGCGCAAGATCTTTGCCTTAAACTATAGAGAGGGTCGGGCTCGTCAGGCGCTGCTCACAAGAACTGGCTCCTGGGGGTTGAGCAATCATCAGGACTGGGATCTGGCTTTATGATTCAGTGAGGGGAGTTGGGTGAGGGAGGAGCGGAGGGGAGGAGCCACCACGGCAGCCTAGCAGCACGACGCTGAGGATCCTAGACCGCCGAGAGGACAGCCCGCCGTCCTGCCCACACCAGCCAGGGTGACCTCACACGGCGGGGGCTGGTCAGGTCCGAGGCTGCAGAGCCCAGACCAGGGATCACTGCCCTCACTGCCATGTTCAGACCCTTCTCCACTTGTAGCGCCTGCCATTCTCTGGTTCCAGCCTTGCAAGGGATGGAGAACAGCTGCTCCTCTTGAAGGCCAGGACCCTCACCCAGGCCCTTCTAGCCCTTCCCTCCGGGTCAGCATCCCTGTAGTGGCAGCAGTGAAGATCATGGCCCTTGGCTTCAGGTCCCTCCGTCCTCACCGCCTGTGTGTGCAACCACTGCAAACACTGTCCATAATCTTTCTGTGTCTCAGTTCCTGTATCTGTGAAACAGGAATAATAATAATAGTGTAGAGAGTAATTGGGAGGATAATGTGGATTTCTACAGGCAAAGTTCTTTAGACCAGGACCTGACACGTAGTAAGCACTCAACAAAATTAACTAGTACTGTTACCCTGGTTATCATGGGAGAGGGAAAATTGGCCATGAAATTGAGAGGGCCTCATGTCTGCCTCACTATCTGGCTGACTCCTATCTATCCAGGAGAGGGAGAATTTTCTCTCCAATTTGCTGCTCACATTTAGACTCCTTTGCACAGTCGGGCACCTGTGTGCACATGCTCACACAGGCATTATCCTTGGCGCACGCACACCTTGAACCCCCGACCATCCTATGAGCAAGACAGGACATGACATTTCCTGGAGTTCTAGGGCTAGGGTGTGTTTCTTCCACACGTGCAGATCCTGTGAAGGGTCATCTTGGCGCAGGGGCCTGGATGTAAGGAGGCACAGAGGTGTGAAATGGCCAGGTGAGCCGTGGATGGGGGCAGGGAGGCGAAGCAACTCCCTTGGGCAGGAAATGGAGTTGCGCTGGGGGAAGCAGCAGGAGAGGCTGGAGGGGTCCATAGGTGCCTACAGATAATCAAAGTCTACTTTGGTTTCCTGAAAGCACTCATTGATTTGTTCTTTTATTCATTTATTTACCCATATTTACTGTGCATGTCTGTCCAAATGGACAAGGAATCTGGCTAGAGATGGGGAGTTAATGGTGAACGTAAAACAGCCCTTCACTAAGAGAGCCAACAGCCCACATTTCTATCAGCCCCAAAAGGTTCCCTGGCTCCCCTTTTAGCCAATCCCTTCCTCTGTAATCCAGGCCCTGGTAACTACTGATCTGACTTCAGTGCCTATAGCTTCCTGCCCTTTCTAGAATTACATGGAACCATACAGTATGTACCCTATGAGTCTGGCTTCTTTCACTTATCATATAATTCATGTAGCACGCATGAAGTTGTGCTTCTCAGTAATTCATCCCTTTTTAATTGCTGAATAGTATTTCATTGAATGGCTGAACCACAGGTAGTTTATCTATTCACCAGCTGATGAACATTTGAGTTGTTTCAAGTTTGGGGAAACTATGAATAAAGCCACTAGAAGGATTCGTGTACATTTATTTTGTGTGGACATGTATCTTCACTTCCCTCAGATAAAATCTGAGCAGTGGGAGTGCTAGGTCATGTGATAAGTATATGTTCAACTTTATAAAAGCTGCCTGCCCCACAGTTCTGCAATGTGGCTGGAACATTTTTGCATCCTTGTCAAGACTTGATGTTGTCAAGTTTCTTTTTAAACAATTTCAATAGGTTTACAGTAATATCTTACGGTTTCGAGTTGTATTTTCCTAATGACGAGTGATGTGGAATATCTTTCATTATTTATTTGCCATTTGTACATCTTACTTGGTGAAGCATTAGTTCAAATCTTTTGTCCATTTTTCATTGTTTATTATTATTAAGTTGTGAGAATTCTTTATATACTCCAGATACAATTCCTTCATCAGATATGTGATTTACAAATATTTTTCCAGTCTGTAGCTTTTTAAAAATCATTTCCTTAAGTGTCTTCAAAGGGTAGATGATTTTAATGTTGATAAAGTCCAAATTATTGAGTTTTCACTTATGATTTGTGCTTTTTGTATTCTACTAAGAAAAATGTGCCTGTATCAAAGTCACAAAGATTTTCTCCTATGTTTTCTGTTAGAAGGTTTATAGTTTTGGTCTATAAGCCATTTCAAGTTAATTTTTACATGTGGTATGCTTCTCAGCAGCTCCCCGCCCCTTCCCACCTGGGCCTCATGTCTGCCTTGCTATCTGGCTGACTCCTATCTATCCACGTTTCTTGACACCCCCCGACTTGGTTACCTGTGACCCATCTCCAGCACAGCCCTCTGAGAGAATGTTGGGGGTCAGGGTCAGGAGTAGGGATGCCTGGGAATGGACCCATAAGCCAGTCTTGCTCAAGCCTGAAGAAGCCCCTGTGATCATTACAGATCTATGGAGGAGTCCTGTTGGTAGCAACAAAAATGTTCAGAGAAATGTGTGTGACAGGGAAGGAAGAACCCCCTGAAAGCCTGCAGGTCTGAATTCCGGTGCTGGTTCACCCCTAACCAGCCAGTGACCTTGGGGAAGGGCCCCAGTTTTCAGCTATGAGAGGGTTGAAGGAGGTAATTTTTAGTGTTCATTCCAGCTCTGACATCTTGTGATTCAGGATGTCTGAGAAACACACAAAAGAAGGAAAGAAACTCACCCTGAGATATACCAGACGGATGGTCTGAGACCAGAGATCCTGGAAGACTCCTGGATTCCACACCAAGTCCTTTGCCCTGAGTTTAGCCACGATGAAGGGGCCTGAGCTGAGGTCATCCTGGCTGGAGATTCGAGGCTCCCAGGGCTTGTTGGGCTTGTCCAGAGCCTGGGATGTTGACTAATATAACTCAACCGTGTGCTGATGTTTCCCTGCACTGGGTTTTCATCTTGAAGCCGTGCCGGGGCGGGGGGCAGGTACCAGCATCTCACGGAGATTGTCTTGTCCTCCAGTTTACATAGCAGCTCTGGCTTCTATTCTCAGGAGCCTGAGAATAAACCCTCAGGTCAGGGAGCCTCCCAGCTGCCAATGCAGGGCTGTGAGATGGGAGCCTCCCCACTCAGGGAGCCACCGTCTTCATGTCTACACTCAGAATGCACCCCAGAGCCAGCCTCTGGCCATAGCACCACCCTGTCCCCTGCCGTCCCCACCCCACAGCCCCTTTCACACCTACCTCACCTAGGCATCTCCCCCTCCTCTTTCCCCATTCTCTCTGTCCTCCTCCCCTGCCCCTCACCTGAGGCCAGAAGCACCAGCAGGACAGGTGGCAGCAGGTCTGTGGCCTCCCAGGCCATGGATCCTCATCTTGAGCTGGGGTTGGGGGAGGGAAACCCCCTGAGGAAAGAGAGCCCGAGCGGCGGGGATTCAGCCCCACCACCAAAGCCCGCCTCGGAAACCTCCGGGAACTCTGGCGCTCTCGTGCCCAGCTTCTTTCCCGTCAGCCTGTCTCCCTCCCACAGGGGTCGGAAGAGCTGTGAAAGCCCAGGAGGAAATGATGGTGAAACTGCAATAGGGAAGAACTAATCTGACTCCATGTTGGATCTGTTTCTTTTCCTTTAACCTGTGTATTCTATTGCTTTTGCTACAAATTAGGAATGCTGCCTATAGCCTGAAATGTACAGGACAGCCTATTCTCAAGGCTCTGACCTTTAAAGATACAACATTTTCCCATTCATACACAGATAAAAAGTTGCAAAACAGAGAATAACATTTGCCTTGTTGAAGGTTTGCAGGAACATTGTGACCTGACCTGACAGCTGCAAGAACAAAGGATTCTGACACCAAGAAGTTTGCAACAACCAACCACACCCCTTGTTCTTTGGGACACTAGTCTACTGTCTTGTCTGCCTGCTGGCTTTCTGAAGAAAGTCGCTATCACTTGCCCCAACAATTCATCTCTATTTACAGGCCCATCATGCAGGGAGAAGTTGGAGCTTGGACTCCATAACAAACTAAGAACCTGTTTCTTCCTCTTTCTCCCTTCTCTCCTACCATTTTCTTCTCCTCACCAAAGAAGCATGGAAGCAGAAAGTGAGTAACACAGTTAGGGGACCCTTCTGAGATCCCCAGCAGTCAGAGACTTCCCACCCAGGCCTGCCTGGGAATTAGAAAGTTCCATAAGGACTGAGAGAAGAGGAGAAGGGAGATGGAGAGTTTTTCCAGGAAAGGAGGCCCAGGGAGGGTCTCTGGCAAGGGTAGGGGAGAACAAAGCTGGGGACAGGAACATTGGAGGGGTGGGGGTGGTGTTGGCAGAGGGGAAGATGGGTGCAGAAGGAGGGGGAGGAAGAGACGAGGAGAAAGAGGATCTCCTACCCCTCAGATCATCCCTGTGTTCCAGCTCCCAGTCTGCCAGAGTCACTCTACAGTAATTGCTCAAAGGCCACACTAATCAGGAACATTTTAAAAAATAATTAACATTAGATGAGCTACAGAAAAACAATCGTCACAGAACAACAATTGTTTATGGTTAATAGATAAAGGAAATGTTGCAGCAAAGTGTGTTACAGCTCAGTTGTGACAGCAACCTAGATCCAGGCAAGAGACCAAGCAGCACTCGGAGGGCTGGAGAACTCAGGCTTATTAGAACAGTGGGCCTAGAGGAGTTAACATTCCAAGTTCTGGACTCCATCTGTAGGATTACACAGCCTTTTATAAGCTACAGTCTAGACTTCACAACATTTTGTGACATCATATGCAAATAAGGTATAACAAATGTGAATAATTAGGAACAAGCTTTGCAGAAATGGACCAATCAGGAGCAATTGAAATGGACCAATCAGGAGTGAGCTCCATGCACATGAAGCACTACAAATGGACCAATCAGGAGTTAGCTCAGGGAACCAATAGAATCTTAGGGGTAATTTCCACTTTCCTAGAAGTAAGCCCTTTCAGAGTTTAAAAAGCGAAATAATGCCGCTGGACCAGGGAACTGACTGGTGCTGGCAGGAGAGTAATGGCCTTGCCTGGGGGTCCTGCTGATCTTTTCATGAGGCTTCCCATCTCAGAGATGACCCTGTAAACCTGCAGTGGGGCACATTAGGTTTGTAAGGAGCAGATTCTGAGGTGGTGGTTGGTACAGGAGGTTTAAAATGCTCGGGACCAGGCTGGGGAAGAGAAGGAAGCAGGATGGGCAGGAGACCCTTCAGGACTCGCCGCGGAGGCAGGGAGTGCCAGGGCTTCAAACTCCTGCACCACTCAGTGGGAAAGGCGGGTGGCTGCCCTGGGAGGGGAAGGCCTGGGGCGAGGCCACCTTCTGCCCTCACTACTCCCAGCACCTGGGCAAGAAGCCTATCAGCCTGAAGTAGGAGCTGGGCAGCACAGCGCAGTGTCCGCCCACCCAGTCTGATGCAGAATGAGAAGCACATTTGCAGCCATTTGGGACCATGAGCCTCAGGCTGGCCTACTGACCTCACAGTGAGAGCGCGTGTGTCCTGTGCGGTTAGATCCGCCGGCCAGGTTCACAGAGCAAATGTCCTGTGAGCGCTGGGGTTTCTTTTTTGCTCATTCCCACGGCCGCGACAGGAAGCAGCCCATTGCTCAGAAAGCCTCCTCATCTCATCCACCAAAGGCAGTAACAGCCCTGGCCTGTCTGATATCCACCCCTGCCCTGCACCTGCCTGCCGTGGATCTGCTGGGGATAAGGGTAAGAGCAGGAAGGAGGAATTGAGAAGCTGGGGTGTGGGGAAAATGTCCTGGGGGCCCGGAGGTCCAAAGAGGCCGCCCAAGCCCATAAGAGCTGGGGAGCTGGGGCATGGGGTCTGCACCTCCTTCTTAGGGCTCTGTGTCCCTCCTTACCACGGGTTCACGTGGGGACAGGCTCCATGGGTGAGAGGTCTGCCTGGTCCCAGAAGCCCCATCATCCTGGGCAAACAGGGATAGTCGGTGCCCCTAACAGCTACCCTTTGTAACATTAGAGGACAAAGGCCTCCGAGTCCAGCACCCATCTCCTGGGGCCTAATCATGTTCCCCTCCACCCTCCCTGGCCCCTTTCAAACGAGGACAAAATAGAGAAATAGGGTCTGACAGTCTTAAAAATAGACTGTGACAAGCATTAGACCTGGAAAAAGAACGCGAGGGCCAGGCATTACGAGGCATTTACTCGTTTGTGTAAGGTTTGTGTTACTTCATTTTATCTTGAAAACAGTCCTGAGTAGGAATTAGGGTCCCCTTTCACAAGAGAGGAAAAATGAGGCCCGATAGGGTTAGTAACTTGCACAGGGCCCCACAGGGACAGGTGGCAACACTGGGTCCCAGTCCTGAGCCTCTGCAGTGCTCTCCCACCGACATCCTGCTGTCACCTGGGGCAGCGTGTGGTTTGAGTGGAGAATAAACCACCTCCTGTTTACACATCGGGTGATGGCCACACCCTCCTGATAGGGAGGATGGTTATTATCTTGTGTATGTGTGCGTTTGTGTGTATGTGTGTCCTGGCACCAGGCCTGTCAGTTCCTCAGTCTGCCCTCTAGTGCCCCCTCCTGGATATAGGGAAAAAGTGCCGCCTCCCTGCTGCCCCCCAGGATTGCCCCCTGCCCCTTCCTCTCTCCCTAGTTCCACCCTGGAGTGGCCCCAGCCGCCTCGCTGCCTATCAAGGCCCTGACTGTGTCACTCTCCTGACCATGATGTTTGCTCTCCCATCTGGTAGGGCTCTGACTCAGAGGTAAGAGTTGAGTGGCCACGGCTACCCCCAGGCTCTCATTCCAGTGGTTCCAGGCTGGTAGACCCCTCTTTCCAGGGGAGAAATCAGTCCATTTTCTTCAGCCTTCACTGCAGAAGAGGCAGAGTCTGAGCCGAGAGCTGTGAGGAGGGGCAGATTCCTCTGGCAATGGGCCTCCTCGCCCAGGCTCCTTGACTCTGTCCTCCCTGCCCCGGCAGTCTTCCAGGCTGTGCTCGGCTCTGAGCTGTCTTTGCTGTATCACAGGGGGGTCCTCTCTTCCCAGGGGACAATAAGCCCCCACAGGGAGGTGATCCCCCCTTTTTTAAGCCATGGTCTCCCCTCCAGTGGTCTCTGGAGGGCCCTCCATCCACTCCAGGAGCCCAGAACCAGAGCCCCAGTGTGGAAACTGGGGGAGATAGCCCTGGTCAGCCTCTGCATGCCAGTCTGGGGACACCAGTCTGGGGACAGGCTGGTCCTGCAGCTGGAGGGCTCAGCTGGCAGGTCTCCGCTTTCCCTGGAGGGGGCGCCAGCAGGCAGCAGCAGTGGGAATATGGGGTCTGCTGGCTCCCAAGACGAGGGACAAGCAGTGCTGTCAGACAGGCACATCCAGAGGCCCTGTAGAGAACACATGGCCCGGGGTGGGGGGCTTGGACAGCTCTGGGGTCCCCAACGCCTCTGTGGACCCCCAGCTCTTAGTCACCGTCCCTTCCTCTCCTCCAGGATGGGGCGCTTGGAACATGGGCTGCTTCTAGGAGTTTTTCTTCCCCCGAGGGCATGGGGAAGCTTGAGGAGAGCAGAGGGAAACTGAGGGCAGGGCCTGGGCGGGAAGAGGGCAGCCCTCCCCGTGTCAGCTTGCTAGTAAAGTATTCCAAGGCCAACGGGGTCTGAGGTTCTCTGTCTGCAAACAGCACCATCAGGGCTTCTCTGCCATCCAGCTGGGGCCCAGGGGTCTGTGGCTCTGGGCAGAATTCCCTCGGTGCCTTCCCTGGGACTTCCTGCCTGGTACCCTCTGCTCAGCCTCCTTCTCTCCCTTCACCCTCCCGCCAGGTTCCTAGCAGCCCAGGGGAACTGAGCAGGTGCAGTGCAGTCTCTAGTTCTGTGAAGGCCTGAGTCCAGTGTTGCACAGTCCTCACCCCATCCTGGCTCCAATCCAGACAGATCCCCATCTTCACTCCTCCGCTGGCCTCCCAGAACCCCTCTGGGAGAAACTCCCCCTGACCCCAGTTAAGTGGCTTCAGACCAAGCAGCCTTCCACGGAGGCTCCAGACTTGTAGATGGGTCCCTCCAGGGTCTGGCAGGATCATGGCACATGCTGTAGCCTGCAAGGATGGGGAGAGAGATAAAGAGGGCGAGGTCCTCCTGCTCACCACCCTATGCTCCTGAGCCAGCCCATCACCTTCGGCCTTCTGCCCTCCGCTTCCTGCCAGGTCAGCCCCAGAGGGTTATGCTGTGCTGTCCCTACCTGCCCACCCTCCTCCTTTGCCTGGGTGCCACACAGCCCTCCTGACTGGACGGGGGAGGACACACCCCCTGGGGATCAAGGGCAGTCAGGCACTTTGGAAGAGGCGTCAGACCCCCAGTGCTCTGTCCTCGGAATGCCAGGGGGGTGGGCTTTACTCACTTCCCATGTGTCTCTTCTTCCAGAGCCCATAGACCACGATCAGCATCACAGGCACTGGGAGCAAGGCCAGCACCCCAACAAACACAATGAGATAAGAATCCTGGTGCCTGAGGAGAACAGACAGAGCAAGGAGGAGGTGAGCATCAGGGCGCCCCACCCTGGCCCACGTCTTTCTGCACGCCCCACAAGAGGAGTGGGACCAGGGGAAACCTGCCAGCCTCGGTGGAGAGTGATGGCCTCTCTTCTTCAGGGCCCCAGCTGTGGGTGAAAGAAGTGAGGTGCTTAGAGGTCAGAAGACGAAGCACCTCCAACCCCAGCAGAGAGACCCATCTCTCCACTTTAGTACTTCTCCTCTATTATTCCCTCAAATCTGCCGAGGACAAGGATTCTAAGAGACCCCCATTTGTGATGGAAGAGACCAAGATTCTTCCTCTCCTCACAGTGACTGACTTTTGTCCTCACCTTTGTCCTCTGTAACAGATGATGTGGATGACTGCCTGTGTCCCCTAGCTGTATCACTTCCACATATGACAGTCCTCAGCACCTCCATTAAAAATTTTTTTTGGCCTGAGGACTTTCTCTTGTCACTTGCTCCCTCTGTGCCGTACAGGGCAGGCAGCTCTCTACTAGTAACCAACAGGAGTGGTGTGTAAATACCCCAGCTCCCACCCCAGCCTCCAGGTGGCTGCTTGACACTGGACCCCAAAGTTTCCCCAGTGGGACTGAGCTCTTGCTCCCCACAGTGGTGGCAGCTTGAGTAAGGAGTCTGTCTGCTGCCTCCCCTGTCTCAGTTCCCCACACTCTTTTCAGTGTCCCAAATATGACGTGAATCCTCATTTCAGGGTCTGCATCTGGGGGAACCCAAATCCAAGTGCCCCCCATTTCCCACTTCCTATGCCCTGAGCTGGTCCCCTTGTCCGTCCCTACCCTCTCCTCCTCATCCACAGACCTTTATGCTGACCCATCCCCTGCCCTCATTTCCTGCTGCCATCCTTTCTGTCACGCATCCACCCCAGCATCCAGTTTCCCACTCAGCAACAGGCCAGACTGATTTTCTGGGGGGGCGACAGGGGCTGCTCTGCTGTAACATTTGCACCTTGAGGTCTGTTTAGTCCCAGGGACTGTTGCTATGTCTGGTAAAATGGCATTCGACCCAGGCCCCCCTCACCCGGGGGTACCTGCTAGGGGATAATTGGTTGAGGAGAGATCTGCTGGTGGTAGGCGATCTGGTGCACAGGTGGCCAGCCTTGGTCGGGGTGGAAGCTGGGCCAGCAGAGGAGGCTCTGGCATTGCTGGGAAATGCAGTCACTGTCTGGGGCCCCATGGTCCTCCTGGACCCTTCAGTGGAGGGGCTGGCGTCGGTGAAGCTGTAACCTGCCACGGAGGTCAGTCTGATGGTCCCTGAGGCCGGAGAGGGCAAGGGTCTGGCCAAGGTGAGGAGCCCAGGTGCGAAGAGCATCGGACTGGTGGTGAAAGGGGCCTGAGGGCCCACAGCGGGGGCAGGGCCTGTTGTAACGACAATGCCACTCTTCAGGATGCTGGCCACCTCCGGAAGAGGAGTGTCTCTCTTGGTTGTGGATGCTGAGGGATCAGAGAGGGAGGAATGTGAGACTGAGTAGATCCTGGCCACCCACACACTTGTCGGGGTGCTTGGGTGGGGCCAGTCCCCGTCTCCCATCCTTGACCTTGGTCCTAGGATTCTACTCTGCTGGGGAACCAGGTGTGTGTTTGTTCAGAGGGTGAGGTTCAGGGAGGAGGAAGTAGGCACAGGAAAGAAAGAAGAGTCTTTCACAAATTTTCTAGTGTCCCCTATCAGGCGACCTGGGCCCAGAGGACACTCCCCTCCTTACGCCTATCTCTCTCATCTCCTCCTGGACTCTTCTCTTTCCTGTAAGTCAGAGATTGCTCTACTTTGATGTTGAACACGAACTTTCCCAGTTGCTCCATGATTGGCGACTGGGATCCGGAGATGAGGACAAGGAAGCATCCAGGGCCAGATTCCAAAGAACACCACCAGCAGCGGGGTCCGATGTCTTCCCTGGGGGCTTATTAAGAGACACTCAGACCAGTCCTGCCACCCTCATCCATCAATTCAGGGCTGTACCATCCCGTTTTCTAGAGGAAGGCTGGTGTTTGGTGGAAGAGGCTGTGAGGTCTCAGTCTAGGGGGCAACGCTGAGTCTCCCTCACCAGGGAACAGGAAAATGGAGAGAGATGGAAGCGGAGGGAGGGCTGCTGCTGTATCCCACTGCTGTGCACGCCAAGGATGTGCTCCTGAGGGCCCGCGATGAAGGAGGGGGTTGGACAGCAGCAGTCCCCGACTTCCCCACTTCAGGTGCCTGGGGCCATAAAGCCTGGTCTTCAAGGGGGAGTGGAAGAGCATATATTGCTGGAAAACTTGAGTTTTTAATCAGGCTGAGGGCTTCTCTGATCCCCAGTATTTTAGTAGCTCCCCCCACCCCTGAGTTACTTTCTAGTTCATCACATTGTTTTATCTTCTTAAGAACATCTGCTGCTATCTGAGGTTGTTTGTCTGATGATGTGCTATTGCCTGTCATGTCCCGTAGGGCAGGAACGTGTCTGGTTTTGCTCCCCACTGTATCCTCAGAGCCTAGAAGAGTGCCTGGCACAGAATCAGGGCTCAGTGAATATATATTGAACAGATGGCTGAATAACACAAAGCACAGAGCGTCCTGAGTTCAAATCTTATCCCGGCCACTGACTAGCGCTGTGACCCTGGACAAGGTCAGAGCCGCAGAGGACTTTTTGGAGCTCATTTTCTTCATCTGGAAGATGGTGACAAGAATGCCCATGAAAGTGTCCGTTAAAGAACTGAAAACTCCACTATACGTCATGCCCATTGATGGATGATTATTCTCATCACATTTGATGTCGGTGGAGTGCAGGGTGGGGAAGACACCCTCCAGCATCCCAGTGCCCCAGGGGACCTGCTCACCTGGAGACACTTCCAGCAGGAAGCCCATCAGAGGGTAGAGGATGCCGGAGCTGTTGCGCATGCACCAGTACCGGCCCGAGTCCTGGCGCCTCAGGGCCGCCATGGTGATGTTGACCACCTTGGCCTGGGTATCGTCCTGCAGCAAGTAGCGTGGCCCCTGCACCCAGATGCGGGTGAACCCAGTCTCACACTTCCTCCTCCTGATTTTGCACCAAACCTTGCCCTCTACGTGGTTTTTGCGGTTCTTGTAGGAGCACTGCACGGACAGAGTCTCCCCTTCAAAGTGCTGCACTTTGGAGTACACACTCCCAACAGGGTCACCTGGGGAGACACAACTGGTTGAGAAAACAGGAAGGAAGCATCTTGAAATTCAAAACTCGTGGTGAAGGGAGATGAGGTAGATATTGCTCTGCTGTCATGGAACTCAAAGTTTGAAGGAGAAACACAGCCTGACTCTGAGGGAGCTCTCCCCTGTCTGATGGGGGAGACACAAGCATAGCCCACAGGGAGCCCTTAGTCTAATGGAGGAAACTCAGCCCTTGACACTCAGGGAGCTCCAGCAGACACGGCCCTTTTCTTTGTGGCGTTTTCTAGTCTTATGGGAGAATAAGTCTCATCTTCAGGGTCTTGTGGGAAAGAGTCAGTCCTGTCTTCAGTGAGACAGGCACAGATACAGGCACAGATACAGGCACAGTCATTGTTATGAAATTCCAGAGCACAGTCAATTTAGGTAGATAAGAAAATCCAATCTTTGAAAAAATTGAGTGTAGTTATTTATTTCACAAACAGGTTCACTATCATCATCTTTTAAATAGCAAGCTGTCTGAGTTCATTCTAGGTGATGTTTCATTTTTAAATATTCTAGTTACAAACCCCTCATAGATTCAGTATGCCCAAACATGCCTATAAACTCCCAAAGGAGTGTAAACCAAAGAATTTTACAGCTATTCACTATTTATCTAAAATATGTTGTCCTCAATGCCCAGGAATAAGATGTGGTCCGTGAGCTACATAATCCACGGTCGGATGGAGAGAGAGCAGAACGAGGGCTGGGGGTCATGAACTGGGGGCAGGGAGAAAGAGGAAGCCGCAGCAGGGTCCCTCCACCGCTCCACCCACCTTAAGCTCAGCGCTTGCTCCTCTAATACCCTCAGAGCCTCCTCCAAATACACACACACGTTTCTCCCCAGTGGGACAGAGGAGAGAGCACACATTTTGGAGTCTAGATAAACATGAATTAAACTCTGGTTCTGCTACTGACTAACCTCTTAATGTCTCTGTTTCTAACCTGTACTAGGTGGCTGTGAGAACTGCGCCCCAGCACAGTGCCTTAAATGTAGTACACGCTCAGCGCGTGCCTTCTTTTCCCAGATGCAGGTTGTCCCAGACTTTTCCAGTGGGACCCAGAGCTGTGAAAGCCAAGGGCCCGGCACCCAAGACATCCACCTCAGTTTCCAACCCCGTTGCCACCAAAGTTGAGGCTCAGGGTAAGGTAACACCCTCTCTGCTTATCACTTTGTCCCACGCAAGTTAAATAGAATAATCCAACTCGCTTATTTGGCAGGCGGCAGGTTTGGGAGATCTCCAGGAGACACTCTCCAGCCCTGGCAGAGATGGGCCTCTCTAGGGTTGGTGCATGAGTGGGGCAATCTTGGAAAGGGTCTCCAGGGCACGGTATTCCTTTGTGCCCACCATCCACCCCTCTCACAAGGCAGTGCCCAGAACTGAACAGAAAGTGGTAACTCAGTTGCCATGGCAGCGAGGGAAACAGGATTGGGTGAGACCCCATCAGGGAGCATTGAGGAGCTGTGGGGTGGGAGAGAGACCTTCAGGGGTTGCTTCCTCCGCAGGACAGAGGATAGGCACAGGGGTTGTGGCATCAGCATTCCAAGAAAAAGCAAGTTCAAAGCGCACGTACATTAGGTAATATTTCCCATAACAGGGTAAAGTTAACCAAACAGGGCTTAAGCTGAGGGAGGAGGGCTTGTGGTATGAGGGAATGGAGTGGCCCCGGTCTAGGTCCTGAGGAAGCCAGCCAGATAAAGGGGCTGGTGCAGGGAGGGTCCAGAGCTTTATCTCACTTTGTGAGGCCTGGGTTAGCTTTGCCTGGGGCCAGGCACTAGGATGGAAACTTCTCACTGGTCTCTGGTAAGGAGCTACTGGTCAGCCAGACCTCCTCCTCCTCCAACGCCACAGGATTGCTGGGCAAGGAAAAGCAAGAAGGGGGTCCAGGAACAGGCCATCCCCTCCCCCCTAAACCACCCACCCACCCTCTCACCTGAGATGGGGCCCTGGAGCCACAGCAGCAGCAGCAGGAAGATGGGAGCCATGGCTCCAAGCAGTGAGGACCACCCAGCGGGGGCAGGAATCCCAGGCTTGGGCCCTAGGCCTATGCTGGATCTGCCACTTGGGTCAGCCCGGGATGACCTAGGCTTCTAAAACTGAAGCTGCCCATTTAGGAAAATGAGGAAGTTGTGGGACTCACTGCCATCAGCAGACCACAGGGGGAGAGGGCGGCGCTGGTGCAGTTCACGCCCTCTTCCTCGAAACTTCAGGCAGGTGTGGCCACCCCACCCAGTTTGGGGCCTCCCGGCTCAGGGAGGGCTCTCAGGTTCAGAAGACTCCTCACCCACTTCCGATTCCGTCCCGGAATCTGGTCCAATAGGGGTGCCTCCTCGTCTGAAGTCAGTTATTCATCTAGGGGGCTGGTGTGAGGTTTCTAGAACCCTGTCAGGTACCGACTTCCCTGGAATCCTCTGGGCTCAGAGACCCAGGGGTAAGGCTATGGGGCTGAGGCGGCGCACCTTGGGCCCTACATGTGAAAAACAAACACACATTCACAAGGAGCTTTATCTAAACTCCCATTCATGTATTCGTTCATTCATTTGTGCATGCAAGCATTCATTCTGGCCCCTGCCTCTCTCTCCCAGGCTCCTGGCTGGTCAGATCAGTCCCTCATACTCACACTTGTGAATAACCCCCTCCATGCTCAAACAGAGCTTATTTTTGTCACGGTTAAAGTGACGGAGGAAAAAAGATGCAAATTGTGAGACTCAGAGCATAAAGTTTGGGTTCAGGGAGGAGCACCTATGCTCTCCCATGTGGGGGCGTGCACACACACAGACACATGCACACTCAGACTCCACACTCACGCACACCCAAACACAAACAGAAGCTGCCTCTTTGTTTCAATACTTACATGTCTTCTTATCTTCATCCCTCTCTGCCTCTCCTACCGTCACCTCTAATCACCCACCAGCTCTCTCCAGACTCCTGCTCCCTCCTGCAGTCTTCCTAGTGCAAACCCAATGCTTCCCCTCCCCCACCTTGTCTCCAGAAACCACGCCTCCTCTCCCTCCCCCTCCCCCTCCTCCGGCTCTGGCCCCCAGCCAGCACACGCATGCCCACTCAGCTTCCTCTCAGCCAACCCTATCTCTCCTAGACAGCCGTCAGGCTCCAGCTAAAGTGACCCAGCATCAGGCCCAAGACCCCACCCTTCACTTGGTCTCCAGGGCTGAGAATCAGAAGGTCAGGCTTCTGGCATCCAGGAGCGGTATCTTGGGCTCCTTCAGGTTGTGAGGACCCAGGTGGGCGCCCGTGACTATCTGTGCCCCCTCTAGTCACCTGTGCCAACTTTCTTCTCCTCAGATGGGACTCATAGCAAAACATCCTCAAGTTTGTATGGCCGCAGACTTACGCTGAGCCGAACCCCCAGGTCCTGAACCAAGACAAGGAAGTCTTATCTTTGCTGACCCCAAACGTTCAGTCTCCTGACTTTGTTCATTCATTCATTCATTCATTCCTTTGTTCTTACAGTCTTATGTGCTATGTGTGGTGCTGGGCATTCGAGGTATAGGAATGAGATACAGTTGTCGCTTCAGACCTCTCAGCCCCCACGAGACACAGTCTGCTTTCCTTATTCACCCTTCATTTGTAATATTCGCCCCCGGTTTAATACTTCTTCTCAGACCCCTGAGTGCAGAGGCTGTCTCTCCTCCCAACACATGTGGTATCTTCCTTCTCCTCTTCCCTCCACCAGAAGAATAAATGGCTTTAGGTCTGGGGGAATCTCATTTATTTCTTGGGATTTCAGGTGCCTGGAATCAATGCTTCTACTAAACCCCCACAGCATTCCTGGCTCTGAGTGAGGCCTTGTGAAAAGTGCAGTTGCTGTGAGAGCTACCTGATAAGGATATAAAGACCCAAACAGGTCACAAAGGGCGAGGCCATCAGACTGGACCATCAGCAGGAGGCTGCTGAGGCCAGACCAGGTGTGAGAGCCACACAGAAGGGCCTGGGGAGGGTTCTCAGGACCCAGCAGTCAGGAGGAGCCTGAGTCTTTGCCCTGTCTCTGCTCCTAAGTGGCTAGACCAGCCCCACGTGATCTCTGGGCCACATGCTATGATGTCTTGGATAGCCCCTAAGATGCTTTTGGCTCTGGCTTTTGAGAGGCTCCTCTTCATATCTGTGGGGCTGTCAGGGAAGGAGGAACGACTGTGACCGCCTACACTCTCATCCAGGGTACCTATGTGCCACATCCCTAACGATACTGAGCACTTTACAGCATCCTCATTTTGCCAGTTGAACAGTTATAAAGTTTTTTAATTGACATTTCTTTGATCACTAACAAGTGAGAACTTCGCTTGTATGCCTTTTGGATTTCCTCTTCTATAAACTGCCTTTCTTATTGCTTTACCCATTTTCTACTGAGATTCCTGCCTTTTTTGTTGACTACCATTAACTCTTTGTATATTATAGATCATATTGCTGTGTTAGGTTTAGACATTTTGAGTTAATTTCCCCCAGTCTGTCATCTGCTTGATAACTTTTCCCATAGTTTTATTCATGGAGTAAAATTCCTCCATCTTGATGTAATCCAATTAATGATTTCTTGCCACATGGTTTGTTCTCTTGAAGCTTTGTACAAGAAGTCCTCCCTCATCCTTAGGCAACACAGATATTCATCTGCAGGTTTTCTTCCTATTAACTTAATAATTTTATTTTTTGCATATATATCTTGAATCCATCTGGAGTTCATCTTTGGATATAGTGTTAGGGAGGGATCCAGGTTTTTTGTTGTTGATTTTTTTTTAATGCTCTGCCAGCTTTCCCAAGGATGTCCAACAAATGATGGGCCTTTGCCCCCTTGGTTCATGGTTCTACCTTATCATAAGATACATTCCTATCTACACACAGATCTCCTGGAACTCTTTAGCCTGTCCTGTGATTCACTGATCAATTCTTGCTTCCCCCCACTGCCATCAGTTGTATTACTTAGTAGTGTATTTGGTAGGACATATCTTCCCTTTTTATTTTTACTTTCTCATGGTTGACATAGCTATTCATGCACCTTGGTGTTTCCATATTATTTCAGAGTAAGTTTATCAAGGGCTTTAAAAAGTTAATCTCAAATTGTGTTTGGGATTACATTTAGAAATTTTAACTGGGGGGAAATTGACATTTTTATAATATTATAGTCTCATCCAAGATCATAAATTATTTCTGTTTATGTATTTCACTAATTGGTATTCTAAAGTTTTCTCCAGAGAGACCTTGGTTAAATTAATTCCTCCTGGATACCTTATAGACTTTGTTTTTATTATGTATAGTGTCTTATTTTGATTAGCTTTGCTAAGTGATTATTCCTAGTGTACAGAGGTACTGCTGATGTTTGCCAGTTGATATTGTACTTGGCAGCCTTGCGAAATGCTCCTGTGAGATCTAACCGTTTATAGATTTTCTGCTTATTTTTTTCTAGGCAGATGATCCCATCATGTGTAAATTGTGACAGTTTTCACTCTTCCAGTCAAATCTTCTTTCCTCTTACCTGTTTTGCTTTTCTTATAGCATCTTATAAAGGCCAGGATCTCTAATACTGTATTAAGCATTAGTGGTAGCTTTGGAAATACTTAATTTGAATTTATACTTTCTCCACTAGGTTTACTGTAGTCATTAGTATGCAGTCTTTACCAAGTCATTTCTTCCTATTTCTATTTTATTAAGAGGTTTTCCTTGTAATAATAAATGTGTTGAACTGTTTCAAATGTTTTTTCTGTATCAGTTAACTTTTCCCCTGTAGTTTATTAATTTGGTTAATTTACAATGACAGATTTTCTGAAGTTGACAATCCTGGTCCTGGGATAAACCCCACATGATTGTAATATTCTTTGTCTTTTTTTTTTGGTATACTGTTGAATTCAGTTAGCTAATATTTATTTTGGGTTTTAACTCTATGTTCATCTGAGAAATAAACCTATCATTTAATTCTCTTGTATTATCCTTAGCTGGTTTTGAGAATAAGATGACACCAGCCTCTTAAAACAAGCTGGGTAGCTTTTGCTGGTTTTCTGTTTTCTGCATCATCTTGTATAAAATATGAATCAAATATTTCTTTAAATATTGGAAATACCCATAAAACCACCTAAGCCTTGAAATTTTTATGAGGATAGATCTTTATCTAACATTTCAATTTCTTTAACATTTATTAATCTATTCCAATCTACTTCTTCTTGTGGTGATTTGGGTATTTTAAGATTTTTTTAGGGAATTTTATGCACTCTTGGATTATCAAAAAGAATTTGTTTAGGATTTATTTATTTATAGGTTATTTTATTCTTTTCTTTCAATTGACTATATCTTCTTTTATCTTCATCAATCTTGACAGAAGCATGTCTATCTTATTAAACTTTTGAAAGAATGAATTATGACTTTTCTTAATCCCCATGTTTGTAATTCATTTAATTAATTTCAGGCCATCACTATTATGATTTTTTTCCTTTATATTTCTTTTTTTTTAACATTTTTTATCCTTTATATTTCTTTATGTACGCTCTCTGCTCACTTTCTGTCTTCCTGAGCCTACTTAGATCATTTGCTTTTAACCTTTTATGTGTCTGACAAATGTATTTAATACTATTAATCTACCCTCTAAATATTAGCTATGCCCCATAAATTCGATATGTAGTGTTTATATTATCATAATATATTTTATTATATACTTAAATATTTATATAATAATCTAGTAATATATTTGTATAATATATAATAGACTTATGTAATAATATATTAATAACTATTATTTCATTTCAAAACTTTTTTTTAGCTTTGCTTCTATGCATTCTTAATTTTATTGCATTATGTATGGAGAATATAGTCCACATCTTATTAATTAAAAAGCTTCTTTTATTTCCTCATGCGAGATTTGCTTTTGTAAATATTCTCTGCATGTTTGAAAGAATGTATATTAGTATATTATCTTTTTCTATTCATGTACAGTGTTTTATATATGTGTGTGCATATGTATACTTTATATATATTTATACATATGTTTTATCAAATATTCATAATACATTTATACAGTTGAAAACACTTAAAACATGTAAATATACCTTATATGTTTGTAAATATTATTTATTTTAAAATACAGCTTCTTACAGTTTAATATTTTATAATATTTC